ACATCCCCTTCGAGCTGTCCCTGCCCGCAGGACTCATCCCTCGGCTGCTCATAACCATCACGGGGACCGTCAACCCCAACCCAAACAGGTACCGGGGGTGTCCAGCGCTGAGGGCAGGGGGTTGCCACAGGGTGCTGCTGGAATTTGCTTTCCATTCCTGAGTAATACCTGCTGTCAAACCCAATTAACATACAAACCCAATTAACACAGCCATTGCCTAACGGGGGCTGTGAGGTTTTTCCTATACCCCCCTGCTGGTACTCCTGGCAATCCCAGGGTTTTTGTAGGAAAAACAGCGAATCCGTTGTGGTCTTGTCAGGTTTTCACTGGATTTCAAGAAAGGGAACGACATTGCCTTCCACTTCAATCCCCGTTTTAAGGAAGGTAACAGGAAAGTCATCGTCTGCAATTCCATGTTCCAGAACACCTGGGGCAAGGAGGAGAGGATAGCTCCTCGCTTTCCATTTGAAGCTGGAAAACCTTTCAAGGTAACAAAACACCCCCCAAAACTTAAGTCTTGCTGCGTCACCAGCACCCATGCGGCACGCCGGGAGGGTTTGGTCCATGGAAACAGGCTGGTTGTAAGGATCATTGATGCTTCCACCCAGGAATCAGCTTCCAGAGGTGCTTCTGGGGCACAGCAGGTCCAGGGCACCTTCCCTGCACTCCTGACCCCTTCCTGCAGGCCCAGGGTGTAACGTCTCCCTGCTTCCATTATTCCCGATCAGGATTAAACCCTCCTTGTTTACAGCGTGGTTCCGCGGGAGGAAGGGACAGCAGGGTTTTGGGGCAGGCAAAGGTCACCGGCGTTTCCAGAGCCGAGAGCTGCGGCACCAGCTCGTTGCCACCGGCCCGTCACTTCAAACTTCGTCCTCGAACAAATCCGAGGGTTTTCTTTCGGCCGACTTGGGGTTTTCACACTTCAGCTCCAGGTGCTGTGCGAGGCGGATCACTTCAAGGTAGCGGTCGACGACGCTCACCTGCTGCAGTACAATTTCCGTGAGAAGCAGCTGAAGGAGGTCACCAAGCTCTGCATCGCTGGGGACATCGCCCTCGCCAGCGTCGTGCCCACCCTGATCTAACGGCAGCGGCGCCATCCCAGCGCACGCCGCGCGCTCTCAACGCGGCCGTTCCGCGCGCGCCTTCCCCCGCGAGTGCTCCGAGGCAATAAAGTGTGTTTGCACATGTAGAATTTGGCTTTAATATCTGAAAAGGCACAATATCCTCCAGCAAGCCGAGTTCAGCTCTGGATGTGCCCAAATTCCCGCTGTAGATGGAGAATCTCTGACCAAGGATGATGGTCGGGAGCCGTTTGATTTGTGTGGAAAGCGGCCTGTGGCAGCCTTCAACCCCACCTTCTCCCAGTCCCGGGCCAGTAACTGGTATCCGCGGCCTCGGTTGCTCTCCTCGGTAGAGCGGTTATTCCTCGTTCCCTGAAGGGATCAAAGTAGTGCAGCAAAGGACTGCAGCTCCCAACACAGGGAACTCCAAAGCCTCTGATCCTGGCTAGAATGAGGGATTTCGGGAAGGGGGTCAGAGCTGGAGGAAGCAGAACCTCTCCTCTAGGCCCTGGCTAGAAGTTAACATCCTCCCCTTCATTTCAAAGGCCCATTTGGCCCTTTGGGTGGCCCAAGGCAGCGTGTCCCATATCCAGTTACCTCCCAAGGGAGATCCAATGGATACAAGCGCCACACACTCCACGGAATGTGTCACAAGCCTCGCGCTTCTCTCCCCTCATCCCTTCTGTGAGTCAAGACCGGTTTCGAGGGCGGGGAGGTTTATTGGCGAGTTCACCTCATGAGTCAGGCTGGTGAAAAACAAAGCGGCGTGAGTCACTCTCCGGGCCTCGTCTGCAACGCAGGAGCAGCACAACAGCCGCTACGGAAGTTTCAAGGATCCGAGATGTCTCACACGGTCTCGTTGCTTCGTTTATACTCGGAGACACCAAGCTGCAAGCAGCACAGGAAGTTTCCAGCAGACGCAGTCGTCTAGGCCAGCACGCCGCTAACATCGGCTCAAGCACATTGGACGCCCGAAATCCCTCACCCCCGCTACTCCTCGCGCGGCGCTGGAGGCTGAGCGGAGCAGGCGAGCCGTGAGGAGCTCTCTGGTTGAAACTACCCGTGTAACTGGAGTTACGGATTCCGGCACAGTTACACCAAGTCACATGAGCTTCCTCTGTTTTGGCGTACACAGCTCCCAGGTTAGAACTTAGAGCAGCTCCCCCGGCTGTCGTGGCCGTTTGAGTGACCTTCGCACGGTTTAAAATAAAGGCCGGTGGAAGAACGCGTGCGTTACACCGAGGTCACCGCTACAAGAAGCGGCTCAGTCAGGTATTTGTTAAAAGTACAGCAACTGGGGGTGTTCTAATACTACTCCTCAAATATAGAATCATGGAACGGTTTGGGT